CGACCCACGCGCGATGCGGACAAACTACGTATGTGTATGCGTGCGAATGCTGATTGTGTAGCAGATTATGCCATAATCGCGACCCAGACGCATTGCACACGCATCAAGCACGCGCGCTGGGAAGAGCACGTGGGATTGGGAACTGAACGCGTCGGCTCACTGTCCGTTCTGTTCTACGCTGTTCTCGGACATGAACTCTGCGCGGGCGCGCCTGGTAGACCCTGTCGCTCAGAGTGTTTGTCGAGCTGGTTGTAGCTGTAGTGTCTACCTGATGCTCTAGATTGAGGAGGTCCGTTGCCCATTGCGTTTCAAGTTTTCCCCGACCTGGCGGAGGGGTTCCCGTCGTGTCCCCCTGGGGGGGTCTGGAGGGGGACCCCCTGGGACAGGGCCCCGGCCACGCGCGGAACCCCGGCGGAAGCCGGCGGAAGACGGCCGCAATTCTGCAGACGCGCTTCTGGGAGGCATGGGCGGCTCGAAGAGGGTTCGGAAGATGCCCCAAGAGGGCCACGAGTCGCCGACTGAACGGCCAAGACGGCCCAAGGAGCCCCCACGACGCTGCCAGAGGCCTCTTAAGACAACCCGACTAGTCAAAATTTATGTGTTTTCCTTAGGTTTTGAAGTTTTTGTGTGTTTTCGCCTTTTCGGCTTCCCGACGCTGCAAGACGGCCCAAGGGGCTCCAAAGATCGATCCCAGACGGCCTCAGAGACCCCACGACCGCGCCCAGACGCCCCAAGACGCCCTCAAGATGGCACGAGAGGCCTCCAAGACGGCCCCTGAAGGCCACGGGCACGCCCGAAGAGGGCCCCCAGAGAGAAAGCAGGGACCGCCACTTTGGAGTCTCCGCCCGAAGAACCCCCACGAGGCCCCAGGAGCCCCCCAAGAGGCCACCAGGAGGCGGCCAAGAGGCCCCCAGGAGACCCCCCAGAGGTCCCAAGAGATTACCAGGAAGCTGCCAGAAGCGCCCAAGAAGCCTCAAGACTGTCCCTAGAGGGCCCCAGGATGGCCGCAGGCGCTTCACATCGTCATAACGGACAACACGAGAGCCAAGATAATAGACCCTACAGGGTGTCCTGCGCAGGTGGCTCGCATGGTGGCGTGCTGAACTCCCCTCGCACCCAGATTGCCAAAGAGGGCCCAAGCATGGCCGCGAACGCTTCATAACGTCAAGACGGACAACACGGGAACCAGCATAACAAGACCCATGGGCAGCATCTTTTCTGTTGCTCATACTACCGCCCCCCAGATCGCCCCAGATGGGCCCCAGGATAGCCGGAAATGCTTCATATCGTGGAAACGGACAACGCGGGAACCAAGGTACCAACAGGGCCCCAGACTGGCCGCAAACGCGTCAGATCGTAGACGCGGACGCAAGACCCAACATAATAACACCCATAAGCATCATCTTCTCTCCTGGTTTCATTCTCCCAAGCCACCGCCCTCTGTTCTTCGCCGGTGGCTCGCATGGTGACGTGTTGAGCTCTCACCCCTGCCTCTCCCTGAGCGCCTCACCGCCCTCTGTTCTTCTCTGGTGGCTCGCATGGTGACGTGCTTAGCTCACCCATGCCTCTCCCTGAGCGCCTCACATCCGTCGCTTGGCCAATCTTCTCGCCACATCTGCACACGCACGGCCCTTGCAAAGCCAGTGGCTCGCATGGTGGCGTGCTGAGCTCACCGCGCCCGACTTCATTTTCTCACATCCCAGATGGGCCCCAGGATGGCCGCAAACGCTTGTTATCGTGGAAACGGCCCCAGACTGGCCGCAAATGCGCATGTGACCCCTTACCAATCCCAATGCCGCATGCGTTCCGACCGAACACGCCACACCACTGCCCATGCCAGATCCAGGGCTGGACCTAAACGGTGTTTTTGCGATTTCGTTGGCCGTTTTCGTTTCAACTTCGTTTTGCGGCAAAGGCGGGTTGAAGACAGAACGAAGGAAAACGAGCACAAAACGAAAACGAAGAACACCGCTTAGGTTCAGCCCTGGTCAGATCTGGACCCATCCCAGTGCCGCATGCGTTCGCCCCCGCTACCTCCACGCGCGCGGCCTCCTTTGGCCGGCGGCTCACACGGCAGCGTGCGGAGCTCGTTGTTTGCAGAGGAGCCCAGGGCCGCAACTGTCGAGCTCCCCGCCGCAGGCGCCCCACGGACGGAGCGATCTCTGTGGTGGTCGCCTCTGCACGCACGGCGCCAAGTCTGCTGGTACCGTTATTAAGTCGGGCCTGTCCCTCTACAGGAGGAATCTTCAAAAATAGTAAAAAATAGTCAGGGGATGATTTTTTAGCATTTTCATACCACTTTGGAGCACTTTTCGACCATGTCTAATTTTTCCTCGAAAATCCCCCTGTAGGGGGACAGGCCTGACTTTATGGTACCGCCTCCTGACCTTTCTGCGCCTCTCAGTTCATGCGCGCTGTGCCTGCGAATGCACCCATCACTGGTGCTACACGCCTCCCCGGCTCCAGCGAACGCGCAAGCGGACAACGAGGGAATCAGCAGCAGTCCCACAACACATGTCCTCCATCCTGTCCGCTGCCGCTCTGGCATATTATCTCGACCAGCACTCTGCAGTTCTCATGCCGACCATGAACGATTACTGCAGCGATTTCGCCGAGCTATGTTTCGGCTCTCTCATTCCTCCCCCCCCTCCTCCACGCGTTAACCTTCCGAATGGCTGGCTCCGCCTCCCCTCTCATTCCATCTGTTCGGAGAGCCCCCTGCAACCATCAAATGGACAACACGGGAACCGGCCTGTTTCGCCCTGTGGTCATCAGGTTCTCGGCTTCAGCGATTCCCGACGGGCCACACATGCAGCACTGGCACCCCCGTAGGGCCCCAGGAAACCTTGAAGACACACGCATGCAAAACATGAAACAGGCCCCCCAACGGGGCCCCACGACTGCCCCAAACCGCCCCGAGGTAACCGAGATCGCCCCCGTCACACAAGCTAAACACATGGACCCTGCCAAAGAGACACCTCAACTCCTCTTCGAAGCTCCCCGCCTGCTTCCCTCCCGCTCTTCTTTTGCACCCCCTCTTCGCTCCTGCCCCTCCCCTCCTCCATCCTCCCCCCTGCCAGCTCCTTCGTTCCTCATCTCCTCCACCCGCCCTCAACATCCTCGGGGTCGGGCGAAGAGATCTGTGCACATGCACCGATCCTGGCAAGGCCCATCCTTGACCCAGGATCGGTGAATACGCCTTCCTGGCCAAGGTAGGAGGGCGTATGCACCGATCCTGGGCTCAGGATGGGCCTTGCCAGAACCAGTGTATGTGCATAGTTTTTTTTCATCCTTGGGGGGTCCACCAAGTCCTGAAACGGAAAACCAGAGAACAACACGGCCGCCCTATCCTCCCCTCCTTCCTGGCCCCTGCCGATCTCACAAGTCATCCCCGCCTGCGTTCCAAGGTCGGGGTTCGTGGCTCTATCAGGTTTTGGATGCACGCTCGAGCTTGCGCGGCGCGTGAAAGGGCGCCTGAGTCCACTCCTCAGCCCCGCGTTCGAATATGAGTTTCTCGCTGCCGAGTGTGAATGAGTCAGACAGCTCCACAAAAAAACAACAGACCGATGGGCGCGAGAAGCTGGAGGGCAAAGTGGCGGAAACAGACGCCAAGTTGCAATATCAGCTCGTGCTTCAGCTCGAGGCCCGAGTTCGGCGGCCCGAGAAAGCAACGAGGTCGAGTCATGTAATCGGCGGGGGCCACCCAGTCGCGATTGCTACGAGCAATGCTCGCATGGAGTATTTGGAGGCGGTGAAGGAGAGGAAAGACAAAGGGCGAGGAGGTGGAGGGCAGGGGGGGCCCAAAGTTGCCGTTCTTCTACAGCCAGCGCCTTAGAGACTCACAGGCTCGTGGATTTAAGTTTGGCCCCCGCGCAGCGAGCCCCCGTCAGAGTCAAGGAGATGATGGAGATGGGTGGTGTGATGGAGGCCTGCTCTTGGACCATGTCGTGCGAAATGCCCCCCGATGTACAGCTCGGATGCAACAGAGAAAATCCGGATATTCCTGAGAGTTCAGGGCTCGATCATTTTGCGCGCGTCGGTGGAGGGGGAGGAGGACAAGAAGGTGACAAAAGAGGCGATCCAGAGGAACGATTTGATGAACGTGCATCTCAGTCCGACGGAGCTTCAAGGGTCCAATTTTCCTCGAGGGAGGCAGTTTTTGCTACAACTATTGTTGGCCCGAATGCTACGAGCCGCTGGCGCCCAGCAGCGGAGCGAAAGGGCACCGAAGGGGAAACGTGGCCAGGCGCATCAACGGAAGGGACAAGGGAAAGGAAGAGGCCTGAAGGGTGATGTCAGCGGAGGTGGTAGAGCTGGGCGAAGAGGGCGGAGCACGTCAAGTCGTGAGGGGCGTGGGCGAGCTCGACGTGGCATGCGTGCATTGAGACCGCCCTCGGAGTCCTAGCTCGTGGCGAGCTCGCAGTTCGCCCGCGCGGCCGCCTCCGCGAATGGGACCGGGGCCCCGCCGCCATCGCACGAGAGCCTCGAGGCTTCAAGGGAACTTTGGCAGGGAACCAAGAGTCCACCAGTGTAGTAGCAGTTGTTGTTACAGGAGGACTTAGATGGGATAAGAGAAACAAGGAGGAGGATGAGGAGGAGGAGGAGAAGGAGGAGGAGGAGGACGAGGAGGAGGACGAGGAGGAGGAGGAGGAGGACGAGGAGGAAAAGGGCAAGGACGATGAGACATGTAGGGAAGAGGAGGCGGTGGAGGAGGATGAGGAAGTGGAGGAGGTGGAGGAGGTGGAGGAGAAGGAGTGGGAGGAGGATTGAGATGATGACGTGCAGAATGAGGATGATAAGGAAGAGAAGGTGCTTCAGGAGGAAGAGGACGCAACGAAAAAGATAAACAATCAGAAGGATGAGCTGGATAGGGAGGAGAACGATTAAGAGGAGGAGGGAAGGAGGGAGGGAGGAAGGGAGGGAGGGACGGACCACGAGTAGGAACGAGAACGCGAGGACGAAACCAATGCGCGCGGTTGCCATCATTATGAAACAGTGAGGTGGCCCAGGGCGTGCTCGCTGCGCACGTTGTAGCCAAGCAGGGCGAGGAGGCGTCGTTCCACAGCGTCCTCGAGGAGCAAGGGTTGGGGGCACGTCATCGTCATCGTCGTCGTTGTGGTCGTCGTCGTCGTTGTCGTCGTCGTTTGCAGCGTCCTCCCACCTCCATTCTCTCTCTCTCTCTATCCCTCCTTCTCCTCCCTTTCCCTCAGCCCGCCTCCTCTTCCTCCTCCTCCTCCTCCGCCTCCTCCTCCTCCTTCCTCCTTCCTCCTCCTCCTCCTCCCACTGCAAGTCCGAAGGGCTCGCGCCTCGTCCGCAGAACCCGCAAACACTGTAGCAGCAGCATCAGCACGCCCTGGCGTTGGCTCACCTGTCCAGCGCGGCGTCCGGAGCCGAGCGCTGCTTCCGCCCCCAGCGCTGTCTGCGGCCGCGGCCGCCTGGTGGGCTGCCGCCAGCTCCGCGCCCTGGCGGCGCGCGAGGGCGCTGGCCGCGGAGCAGCCGCAGCGTCGTCGCCCCCTCGGCGAGGAGCTGCGCACGGTCCCGCCCCAGCCGCCGAGGGTGGCACATACGGAGGGTTGCTGGTCCCGAGCGCGAGCGGCATCGTCCGTCACGGCGTGCGAGCGGCTGGGCTCTTGGCGTGTTTGTCGGCCTCGGTGCCCCTGCAGACGGCACCATCCCGCCAGGCGGCAACACGGAACCCCTCGGCGTCGGCCCGGCACGCCGTAGCGCACCATGACGTCGAGGAAGGCCCGCGGTCAGTCGGCCCGCTGGATCTCCGCGTCGAGGGTTGCTTCCTTCACGCCTCGTCAGACGCGGTGCCGCAGCTTGCGCAGGCCGCTCCCTGCCGCTGGGCACGCGGCTACTGTGCCGCCCGTTTCGCAGCCCGAGCAGTGCGAGGCGCCAGCGGCCCCAAGGTGGCACTCGCCGTGGATGTGCTCCCGCGCCGTCTCGAGGTCGCCGACGGGCGCCTTCAGTCCGCCTCCGCGCCAGCAGCGCCAGGCTTGGTTTTGGTTGTGCGCTGGCCCCCGCAGCGCTGGCTGGCGCGGTCCCTGGTGTGGGCTCCTGGTGCGGGCTGGTGACGTTGTGGCCCAGCAAGCAGCGCACCGTGGAGCGGCCAGCGTCGTCCAGGCGCTGCGGTCTGCCAGCCTGCTGCGTGAAGGCCGCCGCTGGAGCGGAACGGCGCCTTCGAGCCCCAGGGGTGTCCAGCAAGGTGTTGTAGGTCCTTTTGGTCAGCCCTTGCAGTGAGCGTCCTCAGGAATTCCCTCCGCATCTCGGTGGCGAGCTCGGCCCAAGTGGACAGCCTGTCTGGGCCGTTTTCGCCCCAGCGGGGCGGCGGCGCTGGGAGCGCTCGAAGCCCGCCGAGGCTGCTCCGGCGAGCGTGGGCGAGCGGCAGCGGGCTGGCGTCCAGGTCGTCCAGCGGGGCTGGTCTGGTCCGCTCCCGCTGGCTGGCCAAGCTCCTCCTCCTCCTCCTCCTCCTCCTCCTCCTTCTCCTCCTCCTCCTCCTCCTCTCATTCATTTTGGCCCCTCCCTTGCTGCTCCGCTACCCCCTTCTTTCAGGCCCCTCCTGTCTTCTCCGTCCTCCGTCCTCCGTCCTGCATCTTCGTCCTTCGTCCTCCGTCCTCGGTCCACCGTCCTGTCTCTCTCCTCTCTCCTCCCTTCTGTGCTCCGGTCCTGCGTCCTCCCTCCCTGCTGGCCTGCTGCTTCGGCCCTGCTCCCTCCGCACTGCGCCCCTCCTCCCTCCCTCCCTCCTCCCTCCTTCCCCCTCTTAGAGACGCAGACCGCATACACGAGTGCGCGTCTGTTTGTTATCTCCCTCTTTTCATGTCTACGTGTGCGTATTCGTATTCACATATATATATAATGTTCGTATGTGTCGGAAGACATCTATGTACAGACAGCTTTCTGGGGCTTCCATTTTCTGGAGCCCTGCTTCTCAGTCTGGACCCCCGAGCCGCGCGGCACGGTTCACGCTATCAGTTGCGCAGCCAGCCCCAGACGCATTCGGGGATAGGTTTGCTCACGATGCGGTATCAATGCCATTTGACCGAGTGCGCGTGCCCAAATTGCCTTCCGCTTCTCTGAACAGAGGCCGCCGGGCGTGGACGGCGCAGGCAGGAGGAGGCAGAGGAACGCCCCCGTGTTTCCCTGCATCCTTCAACTTCTCCCTCCCATGTCGTTCTCCTCCTTCCTTCCCGTCTCAGCCCCCTCCTCAATTCTTTCCCCCTAGCTCTTCCTCCCCCCTCTCGCGTTCCTCTCTTGCTCCTCCCTGTCCGTTTCCGCCCGCTGATGCGGCTTTGGGTTCTCCTCCTGCTGCCTTCTTTCCCAACCATCCTGTGGTGTTGGGTCCTCGTTTTGAAGAGACGGTCCCCGCGTTCCTCCTTCTCCTCCTCTTCCCCCTCCTCCCTACCGTACGCATGCGTCCCGCACACCCAGTACAGCGTTTCGTGGCCCTACCGTACGCATGCGTCCCGCACACCCAGTACAGCGTTTCGTGGCCCCATAGGGAGCTCCACCGAAGGTCCCAGTGCTACCGTCCGCATGCGTCCCGCACACCCAGTACAGCGTTTCGTGGCCCTCCTCTTCCTCCTCCCTGCGTTTCGCCCACCCAGTACAGCGTTTCGTGGCCCCATAGGGAGCCCCACCGAAGTTCAAGGTGCTACCGTCCGCATGCGTCCCTTACACCTAGTACAGCGTTTTGTGGCTCCGTAGGGAGCTCCACCGAAGGTCCCAGTGCTACCGTCCGCATGCGTCCCGTACACCCAGTACAGCGTTTCGGGGCCCCATAGGGAGCCCCACGGAAGGTCCCAGTGCTACCGTCCGCATGCGTCCCGCACACCCAGTACAGCGTTTCGTGGCCCTCCTCCCCCTCCTCCCTGCGTTTCACCCACTTAGTACAGTGTTTCGTGGCCCCATAGGGAGCCCCACCGAAGGTCAAAGTGTCACCGTCCGCATGCGTCCCGCACACCCAGTACAGCGTTTCGTTGTCCCATAGGGAGCCCCACCGAAGGTCCCAGCGCTACCGTCCGCATGCGTCCCGCACACCCAGTACAGCGTTTCGTGGCCCCATAGGGAGCTCCACCGAAGGTCCCAGTGCTACCGTCCGCATGCGTCCCGCACACCCAGTACAGCGTTTCGTGGCCCTCCTCCCCCTTCCTCCCTGCATTTCACCCACCCAGTACAGCGTTTCGTGGCCCCATAGGGAGCCCCACGGAAGGTCCCAGCGCTACCGTCCGCATGCGTCCCGGACACCCAGTACAGCGTTTCGTGGCCCTCCTGCCCCTCCTCCCTGCGTTTCACCCACCCAGTACAGCGTTTCGTGGCCCCATAGGGAGCTGCACCGAAGGCCCCAGTGCCCCCGTCCGCATGCGTCCCGGAAGCCCAATGTGGCATTTTCACACACCCAGCGCAGCGTTTCGTGGCCCCATAGGGGGCTCCACCCAAGGCCCCAGTGCCACCACCGTCCGTATGCGTCCAGGAAATGTACTTTGGCATTTTCACCCGCGCAGTGCTGCGTTTCGTGGCCCCCTAGGGGGCTCCACCGAAGCCCCCAGTGGGACCGTCCGCACGCGTCCCAGTAACCCAATTTGGCATTTTCACTCACTCAGTAGAGCGCTTTGTGGCCCCATAGGGAGCTCCACCGAAGCCCTCAGTGGGACCGTCCGCATGCGTCCCGGAAACCCAATTCGGCACACCACCCACACAGTACAGCGTTCCTTCCCGCCCAGTGCAGCGCTTCGTGGCCCCATAGGGAGCTTCACCGAAGCAGATATTCACAATTACGGTACGTACAACTGCATATGGTTGGGACCTTCGCCAGGATAATTTTCTCCTCCGCCTCCTCCGCCCTCTTTCGCCTGTTCCCTCCTCCACCTCTTGCCTCTGCCCATCTCCCACCTTTTTCCCTTCGCGTTCTCCCCCCGTGCTCTTCCTGCTACCCCCTCTTCTCGGTTCTTCTGGGCATCCTTCTGCATTCTCCTTCCTCCCCCGCCTCCCTCCTTCTTTCCCCACTCTTGTTCTCCTCCTCCTCCTTCTCCTCCTCCCCCGTTTTGCTTCTACTGATGATGCTGCTCAGCCCACTCCCTTCCTCTGTGGACGGCGGACCACCACAGGTCGGCCACTCCCCTTGCAATCGTTTATGTTGGAGTAGTGTTCTTGGCAGGACTCAGAACTCTAAGCAGGAACCTCCCTCTGCATCGTTTTATCGTTTTATCGTTTTCTCCAATCGTCTCTTTGTACTGCTGCTTCTCCCTCTCTGCTGCTGCTCCTCCTCCTCTTCTACTTGTCCTTCCTTTCCTTTCCCTCTCCCTTCTCCCACCTTCTCGCTCATCCTCCCTTTCCTGCCCCTGATACTGCCGCTCCTCTTCCTTTTCTCTTTCCTCGTCCGCGTCGTCGCCGTCGTCCTCATCCTTCTCCTCATCTCTCTCCTCCAGCTCCTTTGTAGCACTTTCGTGAGAAGCCGAACCCAGTCGCTCCTCTCCTCTGCATCCTCACTTCTCCTCTTCCCACTCCCCATCGGGTTACTACTGATCATTCTCCCGCCCCCCCTCACCCGCGTTGTGAGATGATGGACGAGAAGGGAATATGGGGCGGGGAGAAGCAGTGGGGAGGAGGAGGAGGAGGAGGAGGAGGAGGGATTGAAATAGAGGAGGCAGAGGAGGAGGAGGAGGCAGAGGCGGATGATGATGATGAGGAGGAGGAGGAGGAGGAGGAGGAGGGGGAGGGGGAGGGCGAGGGGCAGGAGGGGGAGGAGGGTGTGAGAAAGAGGAGGAGGGGGGGGGAGAGGGAGGCTGTTCGAGGGAGGAGCAGCGGGAGGGGAGGGAGGATGAGGAGGGACGACGACAACGACGCCGCAGCCGACGCAGAAGCCCCGCCGGGAGGAACAGCGGGCCGCCCAGGAGGAGCTGTCGGAGAGGGAGCGCGAGTGCCGGCGCCACCGGGTCCCCGGGGGCCTTCGGAGGGCCCTCTGTCCCCGCCGCCGCCCCGCCGCCGTTGTCGTTGCCCACACCGTTGCCGTTGCCGCCGCGCCACCCTCGTCGCCTTCGCGTCAGTACTGGGGATGGCTTTTGAGTTGATGCCCGAGAACGCTCCGCTCAGTGCCTGCGGCTCGCGAGTGTGTTTGATGCCATGCGAACGTGGTGGACACGATGCGTATGGTGAGCGTGGTGGGCACAACGGCACGTGGCGTCGATCACGATGCCATTTTTGCTGCTGCCGATGCCGACGAAGGTCTATATCGTGAAGAAGACGAGGACGAATGCATGTTCGGCGGTAGATTCCCGGAGCTCTCTGGAGGCCTCTGTAGGTCCTCGGGTGCTTTCCAGGGCCCTCGGAGGCCTGTAGACACCCCAGGAGGCCCAGGAAGGGCCAAGAAGGTCTGTAGACCTCGCGCTTCACCGTACAAGCGACGGGCGACGGGTGCAGAGGCCACTTGGTGCCCTGTCCCTCGCCTTGCTGGGTAAACCGAGCAGCAGTCTGCGCCCCGCAGGCAGACCTCGCTGCTGACACAGGGATGATGCATCAGTACGCACTCTGACGAGGATAAGCAACCGCCCCGCTATACCTCATTCGTTCGTCCGCCGACGACGACGAGGAGGCCGCGGAGGACGACGAGGAGGCCAGCGAGGGCGGGGCGGAGGGGCCGCCCACCCGGAGGTCCGGCTCGAGCAGCTGTCCAGGATGCGCGAGGAGCCGGGGTTGGTGCCGAGAGGGGGCCCTCAGCACGGGGGCGGTGCGCCGCCGCCGTGTCGGAGTACCCACTCTTGGCCGATGGTCCCCGTGGCCAGCCCTCCCTCCCCCGCTCAGCGTCCTGTGTGCATAGCGCAGTGGTTTGTGCTTCCCTCGGTCGGGGGCCGTCGTTTGGAGTTTCCTCGATGTGAGCCCCTCTCTGGCACTGGCCCCTTCTCTCCGAACGCCCGACCTTCGGGGATCGAGGTTCGATCCATACCCCTGCTGCAGCCCCCCCCCATTTGTGGCCGCCAGGGGAGCCAGGGCATGAAAACAAACTCAGCCTCTAGATGTCGGACTTTTATCCTTGCCTCCACTCCGGCCCCCTCGTAGAGTTCTGGCGTGAACGGGAGTGTATATACACCTGTATGTATGTCTGCATAATGATTGTGTTATACATCAGATAGATAGAAACGTCGATCGCCTCGGCCTGCTGGGGGAGCGACCCCCCTCGGCACTGCCTGGAGGAGTACCGCGTGTGGAGCGCGTCTCAGCTGGACGACGCGCAGCGCACCGCCGAGTCCACCGAGGCCCTCCTGGCCCAACAGCTGCACCGCGTGCGTTGCCGCTGATCCCCCTGTCTCTCGTGGTCCTCCCTGTCCCTTTCTTCCGAATTCGGGCGGGTGGAATTTTCAGTTCTGGAGGCTCTTTCTCGGGTGGCTCCAGGACAACCTCGAACCTGGGCCCGATACGACGAAGAGTTGCCCCCAGGGCAGGGGTCGACACCTCAGGGGACCGCGATCGAGGAATCAGTTCGTCGGAAGTCTGGGCTCCTCTCTCCCACCCTCCGCTGTGTCGCCACCGAGTGCGCTGCTTGAGTGCACCGCGGGTGCTCTGACCGCTCCCCCCTCCTCCCTCCTGCCTCCGCCTGCTTTCCTCATCCCTCCTCCGCACTCTTCCCCCGTTCGGCCTCCGCCCTTCCTTTGCGCCCTCGTCCTCCTCCTCCTCCTCGTCGTCGTCGTCCTCCTCCTCCTCCGCCTCCACCCTCCTTTCTCCCTTCTCTCTCCTCCCTCCCTCCTCTCCTCCTTCCTCCTTCCTCCTTCCTCCCTTCTGCCTTCCGCCTCCGCCCTCCTCTTTCTCCTTCTTCCCTCCTCCCTCCTCCCTCCTCCCGCCTCCCATCTTTGCGGACAACGGCGTCCATCATCCTTAAGATATTCTCGTCGACGAGGTGTGCACGACCGCCGCGGCGCTGCGCGCTTCCGCCCTCGCGGCCGCGACGGCTCTTCTGGGCACCCGAGCGTCTGTGCACCTGGGCATCCGTGGCACTCGGGTACCCTTGCATCTGGGCCCCCGGGCATCCCAGCATTTTAGGCACCCAGGCACCCGGGCACCTGGGCACCTGGGCACCTGGGCATCTGGGCACCTGTGCATTCAGGCAGCTGGGCACCCGCGTGCACGCGGGCGCGAGTGCACCCGGGCACCCCAGTCACCCAGGCACCAGGGTATTTGGGCACTTGGGTATCTGGACACTCGCGCACCCTGGCACGCGGGCATCCTGGATCCCGGGCACCCGGGCACCCGGGCACCCTGGTACTCGGGCACACTTTGATTTCCGCTGGACGTTTGTTTTATTTTTCTGATCCAACTTTCATGCGTTCCTCCTAGCAAGAAGAATGGACGGCGGATCTTTTCAAAATGGGGCTCTCGCCTAAACGGTAGGCCAATGGTGCGCCGGCGTTTCAACGAGGTGGGGGCCTTAATGAAAATGAAAGCTTGATCCTCCGTGCCTCCTTCCCGCCTTCCCCTTTTCCCTCCATCTCGTTGATGTCGTCTCCGCTCTCCCCCATTTCCTGCGTGCTCCAACACTGATGCACAAAGTGGCAACCTCGAGTTATTCCTGGTGCGTGGGAGTGGATTCTGCATCGGCGCCAACGGACCTCCCTGAAAGCAGGTCGGCCAAGCCTGCCCTAAGGGTACCCCGACTGGGGTGACCCCGACGAGGCTTACCACCGCCGCTCCAGACTCATCCTTCGGCAGGGCTGGCCGACATCGACGTTTTTGTCTTGAACTGGATGTATGACTACACGGGCCACCTCATCATCCAGCCATCAGCGGGGAGCCGGGGCATTTGGTCGGTGTCATCATCAGGCATTGGGATGCCGAGTGGTAGCGCATGATGACAGCTACGGTCGGTCATCAGGGCTATCCGGGGATATTCGCTCCGTAGTGTTGGGAATGGCAGTGCGATGTCGACTTTGCTGCGCAAGGCATGTCCTGCAACGCTCTGGCTTTGGACCGAGACGCTTGCCAGGTGCATCGTTCTTCCTGGGTCACGCAAGTCGTGGGGCACAAGCAGAAACACAAATCCCGAGAGTCTCTGAATATATTCTTTCATGTGCGTGCGTGAAGGAGGGAAGAAATGCTGGGTCCCACCCAAGGCTGGGCTGGGGCGCAAATCCCAGGGACAACATAATCGTCTTTGAGTGTGTATGTCGCCCGCTGCTATCTGGCGCGGGCCAAGTGAGTCTCTCCTTTTTCATAGCGTTGCGCGTAGAGTAGCAGCGGTGTTGCGCGCGCCACAAGTACAGTGTGACAAGGTCATCCGCGCCCTTTGGGCGACTGCATGAATTCTTCGGGCTTCCTTGAGGGGGAGCTTGGCTTCGATTGTTTTCCTGTGCCACCGAGGGTGGGCGAATGTTGTTGCGGGCGGTCGGGGGTAGTGCCCCCGGGCCCCCGCAGGGCTGCCGCGGGGTCTCCCCGGGGGTTTCCGCGGGGCGCGTTTCCGACGGGGGCCTGGGGAGAACCGTCAGGATCTCTTTTTCGCCCTACAACAACGGCCTTGTTGTAGGGTCCCTGCGCGTGGAAGAACACAATGGAAACCGCGCCCACCGACCCGTCGGGATCTCAGTTTCTACTGGCGACAACGCGTTTCGACCGTCGAGAACGAAATTCTGCCCTCTGGAGGGAATCCGGTGCGCGCGTTGCCATAGGGCCGGTCTCCAGGCCCCGACGGGCCCCGCGTCCCAGATGGCTCCAAGATCCCCTCCCAGGCCGTTTGTGAGGCTCCAAGAAAGCCCCCCGAGGGCTTCAACGGGGGACGAAGATCCTTCCAGAGAGCCCCAACAGGGACCCACTACCTTATCGCAAGATCCCAGAGAGGGCGCCCAGAAGCCCAGGGAAGACCCCGGACGTACGTGACGCGACTGTTTGGGTGCAAATTGCACATTGCATAGTTCAGGATGCGCAGGCACGCGGCAGCCAGCTTTTCATAAACGAGTCCACATAAATTTGCTCTTCCAGCCCCACTTGGCCCATAACCCCACCTTGCCCCACCTTTCGTCCGTCCCGAAGTGGTTTGAAGTTTCATTCTGCCAGGTCCGATAGTGTCTCTGCTTGAGCTACGTGCTCTGTTTGTTCTTGTGAACAGAGCTTTTAGAGCAGTAGCGGTAGGAGCCTCGTGTTCACAAGCCGCATCCAGTCCAATCCAGTCCAGACCGGGCTTTGGACGTGGGGCTTGCACATTAGATCCGATCGTAGATTCGATCCTCAAGCAGACCAGGGACCAATCAGTAGACCAGATTTCAGACGAGATTCGCCCAGACCTTGGCTCAGCCCTTAGACTAGACTGCGCCAGACCTTAGGCCAGACCTCGGGCCGGACCTTAGACGGGACTTCTTCGACCAGATTTTGCGCGACGGGCCTTGGCTTGAACTGGTGGTTGGACCAGAGCTTGTGCCGGAGCTTAGGCCAGACTTCGGATCAGGTCATAGTCCAGACCTCAGACGGGGCCGTAGAGCTTAACTTGGGCCAGACGTTGGACCAGCTCTTCGGCCAGACCTTACACGAGATCTTCAAGCAGATTTTGGACCATGCCTTGGCCCAGACCCAGCGTCAGATCAGACCTTGGAGCGGACCGTGGACCATAATTGCGACCAGGCCTCAGACCAGACTTGGACCGGCTTAAGAACGGACCTTGGACCAGACTCTGTTCCCAATTACCTAAGGCTATACCTAAAATGTAAGATCTTGGGCCGCGCATTAACCGAGCCTGCAATCAAGCCCTGGCATCGCACCTTGGCGCGAAGTCTTCGACCAGATTTTGCCCGACTTTCGGCCGTGGCCAGCGCTTCGAACACATCCCACGCCAAACATTTTGCCAGGCCTTAAACCAGACCACAGGCCCGACCCTGGATCTGTTCGGATCCTGGATCAGTCATGTCTTATTCCAGACCTCGACCGGATCGTAGAAAAGACCATTCGCCCAGATCTTCGGAAAGCCCTTGCAGCGGATTATGGGGCAGACCTCAGAACGCGACCTGGACCGCGCAGACCTTTCACCAGACCAAGACAAGACCTTCTACCACACCGTAAACCATATCATTTGCCAGGCATCAGTCTAGACCTAAGAGCTGACCTTCGAGCAGACCCTAGACCCGATTTGAGACCGCATCTCGAGTTCCACAATTCAGACCAGATCTTGGATCGCATGTCGGACCAGAGACTTCAGGCCGCAGTGAACTAGACACTGGGTATACCGTAGGATAGACTTTATGTCGGACTGAATGGGCCACAGCCAGGCCGTCAACAGCCCAGACGAGACCGTTGACTTGACATTAGACTTGGCCAGACCGCAGGAAAACATACTTTCGACTAGACCGTAGACACCTTAGGCCAGAGCTTGAACAAGACCTTTGGCCTGATGGTTTGATTTCATACCGTGGCTTGGACCAGGCGTTTTTTGGCAGGGCCAAAGACCAGGCCTGCGACGAGATCTGGTGCTTGACAGTCCTACGAACCGAGCCCAGATACATCCTTAAATCAGATTTTCGATCCAGACCTTGCGCGGGATCCTCGGCCAGACCTTAGGCCCGATCTTAGAGTCGTGCCTTTGGCCGGAGCTTCGGCCTGATCTTGACCAGAGCAGCCGCTAGCCTAGGGCTGATATTGCAGGTGTCCACGGTTTTTATTTCTTTCAGGAGGCGGCGCCCGCGCTCCGCGCGGAAGACCAAGCCTCGTGCCAGCCCTTGCGCCGGATCATGGCAAGTGCTCGGCAAGAGGGCTTCCGCCAGCGCGCGGGCCAGACTTTAGACCAACATCTAGACCCGACTTTAGCTCAGACCAGAGATCGAACCTCGGAACAGGCATTGGACAAGTTTATGGGGCAGACCTGAAGACCAAACCTTGCACCGTGCCGTAGACGCATACCTTATTCCACGCGCTTGGCCAGTGCCTGGATCACGCATAGACCTTGAACCATAATTCAACAAGATGCTGTGCAATGCTTTGGGCCAGGGCTCGTGCCAGAGCGGAGGCCAGGCCGTCAACCGTCCCCAGATTAGATGTTCGCCAGACCTCGGGCCGCGCCGTGGGGCGCACCTTTGGCCGGATCTGGGGTCAGAACTCGGGCCAGTCCTGGGTGAGATCTCATGCGAGATTTCTGACGTTGCACCAGGCTAGCACTTTGGCCAGAGTTTAACCAGTCCAGAGCAGACTTTTACATCTGGCCGATCAGGCCTTAGCTGGGGTCCAGAGACTTCGGGCCAGAGACTTCGGACCAGGCCTTATCGGACAGGGAATGAACATTCTAACG